TTTGCCTCTCTCCCTCTCTTTCTTTTCTTCCCCCTTTGCTCATTTGCTTTGTTTCTTAAATTCCACATATGAGTGAAATCATATGGTGTCTTTCTCTGACTGACTGATTTCACATAACATAATACTGTCTAGCTCCATCAATTTCTAGACAATGAAGAACTTTTTATTTGGGACGTAGAATTTATTTAGAAATGGTTTGATTTGTTACATATGATTCCAAAGCAGTATTTTTAAAGTTTTCTTTTTATTTATTCCATAAACAATAACAAAACTCAGCTAGGTACATTATGACAGTTTCACCATACACTCAGTCACAAATATTTAAAACTTTGCAACAAGAACAACAAAACCAGAGGTGTTACAAGAATAATTTACAAGAAAATCTATAAAACAGCAAGAAGCTCACAAATGTTCATTTTCATTTGCACAAGATCACTACACTCTTTCACAACATGTTTTGTGTTACAAAATTCCCAACAAAAGTGTATTTTTTTCTTTGTATTATGGTTTCTAAAACCAGAAACTTTGAAGTAAATATCCTTTTATTAGCACCCAGTGGTGCAGAAAAAGGAAAACTCTCACATACAGACACTTCACAGCACTTTTCTAAGAAAAATATACACTTACAAAATATGTTACAAATTGGCACACTTAAAAATATACAAGATTTTGTAGGCGTCTTAAGAGTGATCCTTAAGCTTTATACTTCAATTGACTCTACAGATTATTTATAAAGCTTAACTCTGAAAGAAAAAAAGGCAAACAATTTCCTAACATTTTAAAGTTGCAGTGTCATATGTCAAACAGAAACTTAAGTTACATTCATAAAAAGGGCCTCTAACATGTTTATTTTAAATTTTCTTAAATGTTTAAAGGGCTTGGGAGAGGAGAGCAATGGAGATAATAGTTTCTTTAGCACCATAAATCAGTACTTTACCAAAGAGGTGCATTCAGTTTTACGGAAATTAAATTAAGGACTAGTACATTCAAAACTGTAGGCAGCAAACTCTAGTCAGTGCTACAGGTATCCCAGTACTGAGCATTTTAAGCTTTCTACCCTCCTCACTGGGAGTGAAAAACAAAAGACCTCTTCTAGTTTTTGTTCTAAGCCTTTTCTTTTGTGCTGTAAAACCAGGTATCTCTGAAAGAAGCAGAGTGATTTAAACATCTTTCTTCTTTCGGAAGGGGATGTCTAAGACTCAGAAACCACTGAGCCTGATAGATGGACAAACATCTTTTCCATTTCATGTCGAGTGTTTCTTTTCTACTTACCCAAATACTGATTTTTAAAGCCTCATTCACACCTTACACTTTGTACCAAACCTCTTTCCTTTACATTGTCCTTCTCCAATGTTTCATCTCTTAGTTATGATTCTGAAATGAAGAGTACATCTCAAGTATCATGTAGCTGCAATGGGAGCTCTGCTTCATGACTGTAGCCACTGTTTAATGCTCTGAGTAAAAAAATGTGCCTTAAAGGGTAGCCTGTGTACTGCGATCAAAATAGTTCTATGCTGGCTGAGGACCTTCAAGTTGATGACAGTGTTTCCCAAGTTAAACAGCACAGCTAAAAATTTTCCCCCCTTATTCGGGTCCTTGAGAAACCTTCACAAAAATCCCTGGCCTACATTGTGTTGACAAGATTCCTATTTATCCCTAGTTACTAAAATGTTTGGTTTTGGTACTAAATCTTCTAAACATAGTGGTGGGCTTAGTGAATTTTAGGATTAGAAAATAAATCTCATATTAATTTTATTTCATAAAAGGACATATTCCTATAATAAGCTACCATTTAAAAAATCCTAAATAAAAATAAAACTCCAGAAATTAGATAATTTCTTAATAATCCAGGAGAAAACAAACACTTATAGTTCTAGCACTAGTTAGGACTAGCTAGTGCTCCATTCTCCTCTTCAGGGCAGAAACTCAGCTCTCTTCAATTCTTGGAACTGTTCTGAGAGCATCTGTAAATTGAAGATGTGGTGGATCTGCGTCAGACTGGTTCGGCTTGGTTAAGAGGTCCTTGGATATGGTTTTTCTCCTTTAGGCAGTAAATGCTCATCAGGACCCACTAAAACAGAAATTCACTAGAACGGCAGAACCTCACATAACAGGACATAGGATGCTAACCAGAGCTGTTTACAGCTTTTGAAGCATCCTTTATGCTTCTCTCTCTTACATACATGCTTAACCCGCTCCCTGTCCTCCCTCCCCCCCTGCACACATACAGATGCTTCTCAGCAAGGAAAAAGGTCAGAGAAGGTGAAAGTTGTCACAAAAGCCCACCTAGCACCAAAGACTTCAGGGAGATGGCTGAAGAAGTGATGGTCAAGGTAGTGCAGGAGGTTTGAAAAGATTTAGGAGAAGGTAAGGCCTTAACACATAATTGCACAGAATAACAAGAAGTCAGAAGAGAAAGCTGAGAGGAAGCAGCATATGTGAGGAAGCTGGTATATGAGATGCTGGAGAGTCCACTGGTTTAAGCCAGTTATCACAGCCCAAACATAACCCCCAAAGTTTCAAAGAACCTTGGTCAAGGCTACTATTTCAGCACCCTCTCCACATAGTCTAGCACCTAACCAGGGCAGAAAGGGGATCAGAGATATTTTTACAGACCTTCAAGGAAAGGGAGTTTCCAACTTTCCTTAGTCATGCAATATAATTCTCTCTCTCTCTCTCTCTGTGTGTGTTTAAAATTAGATTTGAAAGTGGCCAAGACAATTAAAGGTAATTAAGAGTGAGAAGGTTGCCCTCTGAAATTCCAGAAGTAGCCTGGCTAAGGTTCTTAAACTCTGACACTTTGAGGAAGTGGAATATAAGATTATAAAAGAAGAAAAGTTCCAAGACCAACGACTGGAATTAAATAAGAAGAATAATGGAGAATACCATTTCCAGGAAAATAAAGATTAAATGGGATTCTGTTGAGGAGGCATTAATAGGAAGCAGCGTCTCAAAGAGATGTTAGAAGGAAGTGGCAAGAAGGAATTTCAGACCAAGGAAAATTCCATATATCTGACTTGAAATATCAGTGATAGGGCAAAACACTATTTTTATATCAGTGGTCCTCACTCCACTAAGGCAGATGGTTGAATAAGGGGTCTCCAAAAAGTCAGGCCTACTATGTTGTGACAGGAGGAAAAAAAAATTGTGAGCAGTGACAGAACCAAAAAAGCCATAAAAACTGAAGCACTCAGAACATAATATACTGAGAGGATATTAAGCGAAATTAAGAGAATAAGCATTTTCTGCCTTGTCCTATTGCTCATTAATCAAAACTAGTTCCTTGTTATGTTTTAGTAGAAAATGATTGATTACAAGTCACAGATACATATGTTAAAAACATATAATGCACTGTAGTAGGCCATTAAAAACGGTACTTTAAAATGTCAATTCTCTTTGGAGAAAGGGATGAACCATGCCCTAGAATTGGCCCCTAATGGGCTCCATAGGAGCAACTGAAAGAGCATCCATTCCAAAGGACTTGTGATAGCAAGTTCTGACAAGGAAACTGTTTCTGAAAGTTTCAGGCTGTTCTTCTACCCCACCCCCACCCCATTTTCCAAAGCTGAACTGAGAAAAACTGGGACAACTCCTCCCATATTTTTTTTATAAAACACATTGTACCCATGGAACATTTTCTTTATTTCTTCTTTAATTGCCACCTTTTGATTACACAGAAAGCACTCCATTCCTGTAAGTGACTTTGAGGTCTGGAGTCTTGGGGATCTTAATACAGGTTGAGTTGGTAATTCCAAGCCAAAATTTAGCTGCAAAACAGAAAAAACAAAAACAAAAACAAAACAAAATCTAGTTCCTAAGAACCAGCCATAGCATTAAGCATAAACAGCTAGCTATCAGAGTGGAGAAATAGAAGAAAGTGTTCCAGTTTGATTAATTTCCCTTCTGGATGGCAGCTGTAGAGTAGGAGACATGTTTCATCTGGTGCCTTTCCATTAAGTAATTGTCTAAGACTCACCACACACAGAGCATCAAAGCCTAGGAACAGGCCTGAAGCAGCCTCACAAAATGCTCCTCACCCACTCATTCCCGTAGACACACACAATCACACCATCAAGAACACAGGCTTGTTCATTTTACTACCTAGTTGTAAGTAGTAGAGCAGGCTGGTGAAAGGAATCATGGACTGGGAAGTGTATGTACTTATATATGTGACAGGCTTCCTTCCATTTCTCTCTGACTACTTTCAAATGTTGCTTCTCTGTTTGTGAATATATTTAGGTGGCAATGACTAGGTAGGTTTTATATTTTGCTTAAATTTTTCCTTTTGAAACATCTTCCTTTTTTTTTAATCTCCCTTTCCCCCACCCACTTATTCTCCACCCTCCCACCCACAGCCTATATATTCACAAGTTAATAGGTTAGTAACAGTATTAGTAAGAATAGTAAGAGTAACAACGACAACAACCAACAACATTAATAATATTAATCCCCTATATCTGTATAGCACTTTATGATCTACAAAGCGCTTTTACATCCATTATCTCATCTGTGCCATAATGCATCAGTCATCAGACACACAGGCCTTCAACTGTGCAAGGAAAATAGATCAAATGTTAGAAGTCAAGTGGTGAATAAAGGGGAAGAAAAAGCAACACTAGTAGTGTTGAAGCTGTGAACTTGAAAGACAAAAGGGGGAAGGGCAGAATAAAAATGTGATTTCAAAAATGTATATAAAAATTGAAATTTAAGTTTAGTGTTTGGCATCAAAAACTAGTCATCCTCAGACTAGTGTATATATATGGCCCTGATTAGTTGTTACCACAAATTGTTCAGCTTATCTAATATGTGTACGTAACTCATAGGAGTTGAACTGAGATGCCTTAACATTTTCTTTAAATGACATTGGCATTGCAAGATTAAACACTTAAAGAACACTAAAGCCATGATATGAGTGCAATTTTGACAAAACATTTATGAAACTACTTAAATAAAAGCAATCTATGTACTTCATTTATCATTAGTGTTGATTTTATAGCTATTTTATAATTTATCCCAGACTATTATAAAATATATAAAACTGAGATATAAAGTATCAGCAATATAACTTTGCACTTTAAATAATTTTCAGCTACAGATTTTGCTTTTAGAAAACAAACTTAAAGCAGCTGTTTTGTTTCCTTGTAAAAGGTTCTGTAAATGCATATATTAGGTCCCTGATGGACTTAGCTGTTGTGACTTCCAGACTTTTTCAACAATTGAACTTTTAGACAATGGGACAAACAAAACTTTATTGTGCCTTATTTGCTTATGTTTCCACACAGGACAGTAGAGTTTAAAATTTCAAAATAATGTATGTATGCATATATATATATATTTTTTAAAAAAATCCATTAATGAGCTTTAAACTGTGGGGTGAATCTGTGAGATGAGGTAAGGAAATTTGGCACATTTCAAACAGTATCCTTTAAGTTTTGGTAAATTGTGTAACACAACATATTTTTCCACTGTGATCTATAGGTGCTATCCACATAAGTGGGGGTGGTTAATAGCAAGAATCACTGGAATGTTTCTAGTAAATCAACAGGGACAAGCTCCCCAAATACTCACAACCAAATGTTGATATAGAAGTAAAATATATACAATACAGTCACTTGTTTGTAGTTTGGCACAATGTTTTCCTTTTTTTCCTTGGGTAAATAGTGCATAAACTACTTGTGCAACTGTATGACTTTTGAAGTCTTTTACATAGAACATCAGATTAAAATTTGCTTCCAAAGACTTATTCCCACACTTCAAAATTCTTTTCTTTAAGCACTTACATGTCAACTTACATACCACAAGGCATATTTTGAAAGAAATAAAACACAAACATCAAATGTCTTTCTGGAAAATGTGAGTTTCTTCTTCAAACACAGGTAAAACCCAAAATGCTGTTTCTGCTTTTACGAGATTGTAGTTGGAATCCCTGCAGAAAAACCAAACAATTTATGCCACCTTAGTTAGCTTTAGTGTATGTCCCACAAAGGGATCATACAATCTAAATTTGTTTACATCATACTAAATGCTGTATGATGCAGAAAGAGATACAGATACAGGGGGCACTAGAAAGCACTCCTAATTGCCACACGATGAGATTTTGTTTTCCAAATTATGCTCTTTTTGCTTAAATGATCTTGCCCTTTTGTCTATATAACTTTTTGATTCTGTTGTTCAAAATGTTTTTTACTGCAAAGCCCTTCCCTTCCCAAAATCATTCAAGAGCATATTTTAGTTCTATTTTCTCAATTAGTAAAAACTAATGCTGAATAGCAGAAAAAGTAGCCTTGTTAGAGTTTATCCCTAGTAAAGCCACAACAGAATTGCCCAATCTTTGGGTGGCTTAAAAGTATAGGGATTTTCATGCACTTTTTTCTTTTTAATTTGAGAAAGAAGGGAATGGGACAGTTTCTTTCATGCAAACTTTTGCTTTCAAGAAGGAAAAAATGAGGGACTGTGGGCTTAGCAGGTAGTAGGAAAGCTAAGGGTACATCATCTCAGCCATTTTAGTGCAGTATTACCTCAGTTTTTCAAAAGAAGCTGTCCCAGCCTCATCCTTGTGGACCTGTTCTCGCTCCACGCACTTTCCCTTACATTTTTCATCTCTCAGGGCCTTGGAGCTGGATTTGTGACGATATAACTTTTTGTGTGTTGGTCCATTATTGCCTAAAGTGCTCAGGTTATTATACTTTTTATCAAAGAAGGCAGAGCGAGAGTCCTCATAACCATGCATGTTTGCACGACCAGGATCACCTATCACTGCTTTCCCATTGCTTTTACTCACACCCTTGATGGACCTGTGATTCTTAGTGGCTCCTGGGGACCCACTGTTGACCTTTTTCTTAGATTCCTGTGGTGTCCCAGCCAATATTTTGAGGGTTTTTAATTTTAGGCTATTAGACTCTGGGGAGTAGAATATGTTGGGGTCCCCATGGTGCTCCATGGGTTCCCAAAGGGGCTCTATGGAGGCCATCATGAATCTCTGCACATCTGCCATACCAGAGGCAATGTTGGATAAGATATAGGAAGGCTCCTGAAATTCCCGTTGGTCATCATCAAGGAGGTTATTGGTGTTGGTGCCTGTGTTCAGGTCGCTCCAGGCTGGGCTACTTTCCTTCCCCAAAGTCCAATCTCCAGAAAGTCCCTTTTGATTTGGCATCTTCATGGAGGTCACAGGGCTACCATGTTGGATACATTCAGCCAATGACTTCCCTGTAGAGGATATGCTGTTGATTTGGCCTCCCCCACGGCCAATGCCAATTTGCATTTTCTCTCCATTGATTGCAGCCATATATTTCCCTTTCTTTGTTGACTTAGGGGCCTGGCGGGAGGTTTTGCCAGGTGGCTTTTCAATCCCTTTGTTGTTGGCTTTGACAGATTTTTTCCTGGTGTTTTTCTGAGAAGAGCTTTGGTTCATAGCCCCACTCTTGTTGGGTGAACTTTTCTTTCTTGATTTTGACACTTTGTTGTTAGTACTCATTTGGCCAGATGGATCATTAAATGCTGATAGGCAAGGAGTTTTTTGGAGCAGGCTGACAGAATCCTCATCATTGAACATATGGAACTGAAACTGATGATTATTTAAAGTAAATCCATCATCCACTTGGACCTGCCGTGAAAGGGTACTGCAGTCCCACTTGATTTTCTCCATATTGCCTAATGGTCCTGGGACACCCTCTTGGAACCCCTTCAGTGTTCCTAATGTCTTGATACTCTCACATCTGGTGATTTGAGGGGAAAGACTGGGGGTGTCAGGTGGGGACATCTCTGAGAGAGATGAGTGGCGGAATTTGTCAGGAGTGAAGTTGGAGATATCCAGGAGGTCAGTGGACTCCTTTAATGGTGTTATCTCATCAATGCTCTGCTGGATCACCAGCTTGGGGCTGCAATGGGCCAGGAAGTCATCAGTAATATCATCATCACCATCTTTTTCACAGGATTTCAAGCTTAAGGAGCAATAATGGCTTGAGTTGATAGAGAGTGGGGCCATTGAATCAAAGCTAAAGAGCTGATCATCATCCATATTGGCTGGGCCCTGCTGGAAAGGAAAGCATATCTCTCCATTATTAAAGTGACATAATTGATAAGAGTCATCAGATGGGAGTTGGGTGTCTTGCACAGAGGCATATAGGACCTTGTTGCAATTACTGCCACCACTATTGAGGCAGATTCGATTGTATGTTGTAGCTGTGAGGTTATTTTCCATGGGGACTACTTGGGAGACTCCAAATTCGTTAGATTGGGTTGGAGCTATCTCCCTTGAGACTTCAGCCATGAATTCCTGGGGACCAGAAGTAGGCTTGTTGGGCCACACATTTCCATAGTTGCTTGATTCTATTTTGAAGTTTTGGGATGACTGCTGCACCTCAGACTCAGAGGGTGAGGAAAGCACACAGCCCTGGGCAGGCTGGAGAGGCACAAAAGATTTTTCTGTTTGAGTGAGGCTGCCTTCATTTTGCTCTGGAGAATGGTGAGCGAAGTATGATATACCAGTATTATTTGACAAATCAGAAGCATCTAACAATGTCTGCAGATACCCTCCAGGGATAACAGGTATATTGGTGGCAACATTAGCAGATGATAGAGGCATTTCAGAAGAGCAGGTGGTTGGTAAGAAAGTAGAATTCTTAGCAACCTTTGCCTCATGAAATTCAGATAGATGAGAACTGTTTGAGGTCCCAGGAATAGCTTCATTCTTTAAATTAGCCATAGAGGATTGATCTTCCAAAAGAGGGCTCATTTGAACAATTGGTTTGTTTTCTTGCCCAGCTTTGATTTTCTTGGATTTTAACCTGGCTTCACTTTTAAATTTGATTTTGTTGAGCACTTTCCTCTCTGGCCCCTTAAATCCTGCATCTTGCACTTTGACTTTCACTGAGTCAGGGCCTGTGACGTCATTTAAATGTGATCCATTTGCACAGCCGGGGACAGCCGGAGGTGTTGACTTCAGTGTACCTTTCAGGCCTCCATCTTCTTTACGAGTACTACCTTGCCTCTGATCACTGCAGAATGAAATCTGCTTACCACTTGAAGAAGTTTCCACAGATGGGATTCTTTGAATCCTGTGCCTATTGCCAAGTTTAGATTTTCGTTTGCGAGCAGGTGGCAGGAATGGCACCTCAAAGCTACCTGGTTCAAAGTTTTGTTTTTGGCATAAGGGTATCTTGTTGGAGTCAGTGTTGCTGTTTCTCTGTTTTTTCTTCTTCTGCCAGAAACCCTTCAAGGGGGCCAGCTTGGCATATTTGTTGAGCTGATTCTCACTTAAATTCACTGTTGTCTCACTGGAATCTACCCTACCCAACTTCACCAGCATGTTCTTCTCACCTTTAAAGCGATTGATGATGATATATTTGATAATAACAGGAGGCTCCTTACGAGTTACTTTTCTTCTCTTTTTGGGACACCATTCATCATCATCTTCCTCTTTGGAACCACCTGGCAGCCATTCCTTCCTCTCATTTACTTTTTCACCCTCTAGTGAGTCAACATCATATAGATAATCTTCACTGTACCTGACTTTTCTCTTGGCTCGAAGCCCATAGTTCTGCTGGGAGGAGGAGCTGCCAGAATTAGTGTCCCGAGCCATATAGCGGCTACAGTCCTTGATCTCCCCCATGGCATCATAAGAGACCTCAATGAAGGAACTGTCATCACTGAAATTCCCTGATGCCTCCAAGGAATTGGTAAGATGGCCCTGCTTTGTATTCTTAAATTGCCCTACTTCAGTCCCACTGCATGGTTTATTTAAGGCAGATTTTTCTCCATTATCCTTTTCATCCTTTTTCTCTACACCCTTGTCTTCCTGTTCCTCTTCTTTGCCTTTCTTCTTGTCCAAGTTTTTATCCTCCTCCCCCCAGATGATATTCACATCAGGGACCTTAAACTGGGAAAGATCGCTGTTCTGCTTCAGGACCCCACTCTTAGACTCCCGCTTGGGGCAGGTAGTAAAGACACTGGGGAAAAAGTTGAATTGGGCATCCTCCTGCATTAGAAGGGTGGTCTTGTCTCGAACATTGTCTTGGAAGGACTCATATCGAATTTTCAAGGAACAGACATCACTGCCCAATGTTGACTCATCATCATCAAACATGTAGTTATCCACATCTTCTTCAGAGAATAAGTTGACAGACAGCTCATTTTTGGAACAGAGGTCAAGTAGTTCAATCTTACTCTCACTAATGAAAGTCTCAAAGTAACCCCAATCCTGATTGGAATTTGCCAGCAAAGCCTCTTCCGTATTACACTTGTCTAACAGTAATGCCTCATAATAACTTTTCTGAGCTGGATCCTCCAAGTCGATGTCAGATTTCTCAGCTTCCCGTTTTTCTCCCGCCCTTGATTTGTGCAGAGGAAAACCTAGGAGCTGGTCTGAGAGCAACTGCTCTCCGTATTTCATGTTTTCTCCAGCATTAATACACTGAATCCCTATATCAGAAACTGCACAGGTTTCATAATCCTTATTTAGATCACCAACTTTCAGACTGATCCCTGGCTCAGGATCTACTGCATCCTTGGATTCCATGAAGCAGCCCAAACAAGTCCGGCTTGGCTGCATGAGGCAGTCCCCATTCAGAGCTGACATGCCTGCAGGCTCCATTATGGCAAATGGAGCTTTCTCACACTCATTGGGCAGTGACCATGTATGCAGGCTTTTTGCAACACCAGATGTAAGGGAGATGGCATTCACAGAAGCACTATTAGCAGCATGCTCAGGTGCTTCAATTAGCCCCAAAGGAGATGGAGGGCTCTGCATACAAGGCTTCTTAGAAGGCAGAGGCAGGAGACCCCTGGGATACATCAGGGTCTCTTTTTGAACCACCGGTATAGGCTGGATTGGTGCAGCAGCTTCTAGAGCTGCCAATGACTTTGTTGCCACATCCTGGTCCTCTGAATCTGGAGAAAAGGGAAGGAAATGACAGAAATAAAGCTAAAGGTCTTAGACCACACTCATTAACTCTCTTTCTCTTGATCAGTTTGTGGTACTTGATCTTATATAAGCTAAGGCTCAACTTCTCTGGTTTTAGAACTGGAAAATACGAAGTTAAAGAATAACACTGATTTTATATTGAACATTCACGCAAGTGAAAAATAGTACTTCTTTAGATTAAGCTTTTTCTTTAGACACAGACAGAGCTTTCCTCAGAAATAAGGAAATAATTGGACTGCTTGATCAATTTGAAAGTCAAGGCTTTCAGGGTGGGAAAATGCTCAGGTGCGATAGTTATGGTTTTAAGCTATAAAACTTAGTCTTGTCATTCAGACCTCTGTTCTGGAAGCTCCTCTGCACCTGTACGTTCCAAGCCACACATCAGAGCATATTTCTAATTCACTATGAATTTTGAGGAACTTAAGTATTCATCTGACAGAGATGGTTTGCAAAAGCAAAGTGTTTGGATTAGCTAGCTCTTAGAAACCCTTCTAGCCCATTTAGAAATTTGGTGGAACAAAATTTAGGATTAATATCAATCTCAGAAGCACCCTAGACTTAACCTACTCCAAGTGTCCATTTTATGGACACTAAAAATCTACAGTAATAACAAAGGACTACTAGGAGAGATAGTATATACTATAATTAAATTCTTACCATTTTCTTTGACCCCATTAATCAGAGTGTTTTCTCCATTGGCTGAGGCAACAACAGCCTTATCTTGTTGGTTATCCATGAATGTAACCTCTTATTGTTTCATTCCAAGTCCAAATGCTGTCCAACCTGCACATTTCAAATATATAATGTTAGTCATTAAATGTATTTTTTCTCTGTTTTAAGGTTATTTCAGTTAGATAGGTCTTAAAAGGCTCACTGGAATTTACGTTTCCAGACTGGCTTCTTTGTTACTATTGTTTTCTGTTTCATAGTTTATACCCACTATATAAATCAGTTTTTAAAATTTTATTTAAATTCAAGTTAGTTAACATATAGCGTAGTATTGGTTTCAGGAGTAGAATTTAGTGTTTCATCACTTACATATAATGCCCAGTGCTCATCCCAACAAGTGCCCTCTTTAATACCCATCACCCATTTAGCCCATTCCCCACCCACCTCCCTCCATCAACCCTCAGTTCTCTTAACTACACAGTCTCTTATGGTTTGCCTCCCTCTCTGTTTTTTATCTTACTTCAATTTTAAACTTATACTTCATTCATACATCCTAGATACTTCTATCCCCTCTAGGCTACCATATTATTCATAATGGAAATCTGAAGAAGCAAGCAAACTTACACCTTCTTCCAGATAGGAATATATTTAACCTAATCATGGCCATCCAGTTAGAAAGGATGTAAAGTGAAGTCCAGAGTGACCTGAGATAAGGAATGTATGTGTGTAGTGATTGGCTTTATTTCTGTTTGCCTCATTTCCACTTCCACTTCCATAATGCTTTCTCTATAATTCTTACCACTTCCAAAGCTTTCCACAAAGCTTTAGAGCTTTGATCTAAAGCTCTTCAAAAACAAGGCAATTCATACACACACACACACACATATGTACGTCACACTCAGCTTTTCTCTCTCTGTGTCTTAAAATTTGACTTCTAAGGATGGAAAGAGGCAGAGAATTCCTTTCCTGGTTTCTCAACTTTCATGACCTTAACTCTGTTATTGACAAATATTCCTCCCAGCCCAGCAGGATTTTAAAATGTTGCTACAAAGAAAATCTGAAATTTCTGAAAAGGTCCCTACATCATCTGGTATTTTAGGGCATAGAATACATATCTATAGCCCCTTATCTCCTGCCCACCTACCTGGGTGGTAGGTATATGCAAAACAATAGAAAACAAGGCCACCTGAGATGGAGTTGTCTACCACATGCCATCACAATATGTGGTAGACATATAAATCCTTATTTATTACAACCCTCCTTTTTCCTAGACCTTCTTCTCAGCCAAGTATCCATCCCTTTATTAAAAACACAGACTTCAGGGTGCCTGGGTGGTTCCGTTAGTTAAGTGTTCAACTCTTGATTTTGGCTCAGGTCATGATCTTAGGGTCCTGGGATCAAGCCCCAGGTTGGCCTCTGTGTTTAGCAGGGAATTTGCTTGAGTATTATCTCTCTCCCTCTCCCTCCACCTCTCTCTCCCTCCCTCAAATAAATAAATAAAT